ACAGACACACCCACACATGTAACATACACACACGGACATAAATAAAAATAAATCTTTTGAGAAAGAAAAATCAATATTGCAGGATTAGCGGGACCACTCAATGAATCTGGCTGCCTGCTGCCACACCAGACGACCTGAGTTTAATCCCTGGGGTCCACATGGTGGAAGACGATCTTCACACATGCACTGTTGTGTGCATGTGAGTACACACACACACACACACACACACACACACACAACAACAACAATAACAAAACCCAAATGAGTAAATAAATGTTAAAAAAAACTCAATGTTGCTTGTGAATTACATACAGGGTTTCTGTTAGTTTTTGTTAATTTGACATGAGATGGAGAAGCTTCAGTTGACCAAATGCCTCCCTCAGATTTCATAGGGAAGTTTGTAAGACACTTTCTAGATTAACCATTGATGTGGGAAGGTCCGGGACCCCTATGCACAATGCTGCTCATGGGCAGTTGGTCCTGGATGATATAAGAAAGCAGGCTGGCCAGTCAGAGAATAAGCCAGTTAGTAGTACTCCTCCACAGCTTCTTTAGTTCCTAACTCCAGGTGCTTGCCCTGAATTCCTGTCCTGACTTTCCTTCATTAAGGACTCTAAGCCACAAAAATGTTATAAATAATGGCACTGGGTTTTGATCCTACTGAACGTACTGGCTTTGGGCGGGGGGGAGGGGCTAGGCTGTTTGGATGCTCACCTTCCTAAACCTGGATGGAGGGGGGAGGACCTTGGACTTCCCACAGGGCAGGGAACCCTGACTGCTCTTTGGGCTAGAGAGGGAGGGGGAAGGGGACAGAGGAGGGTGAGGGAAATGGGAGGCAGAGGCGGGGAGGAGGCAGAAATTTTTAATAAAAAAATGTTATAAATACATTTGTCTCTAAGTTGCTTTTTTGTTTTGTTTTGTTGTTTTTTCGAGACAGGGTTTCTCTGTGGTTTTGGAGCCTGTCCTGGAACTAGCTCTTGTAGACCAGGCTGGTCTTGAACTCACAGAGATCCGCCTGCCTCCGCCTCCCAAGTGCTGGGATTAAAGGCGCGCACCACCACCGCCCAGCCTCTAAGTTGCTTTTAATGATGGTCTTTATCACATAAATGGAAAACTAACTAACATCATTAATGTGTCCAGTTTTACTATATTCATCACTTACTAACGATACCTCCTGATAAATGCATTATTAGGTGACCGACAATTATGTGAATGTCACTGAGTAAATTTGAAGAAATCTGTGTAAAGCCTATGACACCCCTATCCACTACAGACTATATATCTTAGACTACACACATGTAGTGTGTACTAAGTAAGGTTTGCAGTTGTAATAAAATGGTACTTGTTTATTACAATATGTCTAACCACACCAAAGGTACAGTAAATGTATTGGGCAAGTGAGATTTTGCCACTCCACTGTAGCATTAAAGGACCACAGCCATATTATGTATTCGCGAAATTCCATGAAGCAGCACAGATGTAGATTCCACAGTACTTTGCTTGTGGTCTTTGTGTGTGTGTGTGTGTGTGTGTGTGTGTGTGTGTGCGTGTGTGTGTTGCAATGGCACTCGTGGATATGAGTATAGGAATATGTATATGTGGGGTATAAGTAGACAGGTGTGTACATGTGTGTGCATATCAGAGGACAACCCTGGTTCTTGTTCCTCTGGTGCCATCTCCTTTTTTTGACAGGTTGCCTCCTTAGTCCAGAACTTTCTTCAAAGTCTAGACACAAGAATTCCAGGGATCTGCCTACCTCCTTGTGCCTGGTCGCAGGCAGATTGAAACTCAGACCCTCAGGTTTAGAAGTCAAGCATTCTACAGACTGGACTATCCTCACAGTTCCCAGTTCAAGGTCGTACATTTAGAATGAAACTGGTACTATCCATTTGTTTAGCTTATGGTATTACAGAAATTGTTTACCTGTTGAATGAAAATGTCAAAGAATGAACTGTAAATTTCATTTCCCCAACACTAAATCTCAGTAAATTTCAGTTTTGATACAAACAACCCCCCAAAAAAAGATAAGAAAAAACTTCTTAACTCACTATAGAGAAGAAGCTCATTAAAAGTTACAGACTTGTTTATATTCTAGAGTTTTAGGAAGTGTTTGGAAAAACAAGCTTGTAGTAGTTTTGTGACTTTTAGGAATGCAAACTGTTTAAGAAATAGTTAAGAGGTTAGGAAGCCAGGATTGGATTTGGGAAACACCGTTTGCACTGCCTGGTAGTTACGGAATATTACTGAGTAGAAAGAAATGAGCATCAAATAACTTGGGGGGGGGGGACAACCAAAAATCTATGAGGCTAAATATCACAGCTCCTTGAGAGTGGGTATTGGAGGCAGATAATGCCTTAGTTCTGATATTCTCTAGTTCCATTCCATGCCGGGATATATCTAACATGCTGAGCATAAAGTTCCTTTGCAGTAAAATGGTGATGTTCATAATTCCTAGGAAGATGGCTATGAGAGTCAAGATGTTAAATATGTAAACCTTTAACCCATGGGAATAATGGCATCAATAATCTTAGTAAGTGACTTATTTTCAGCACTCAGAAAAACATGCATTTCATGTTTCAGAAAAAGAGTTGGGTATGGATCTAGATTAGGATTTATTAATATATCCTAGAAGGTCTATGGGGAAAAATAGAACAAATTCACGCTTATATGCCTGAGAAGTAAGCTACTTTTAAAGTAATCAGAATATATTATAAATCTATGATGCCTTAATCTCATCATCCTGTTAAAGAATTGCCAACAAGCTTTGATGCATAGGCTGGTTCATGATTTAGACACTTTTCTTGAAAGAAGGGTTCATGTATCTTAGACTGGTCCTAGACTTGCAATATACTTAAGGATCACCTTGAACTTCATATTTCCCTGTTTCCATCTGCTTACTGTTTGCATATCACATATAGATCAACATGCATGTTTTATGATAATCTAGGGAACTCATGGCTTACTGCATTCTCGGCAGTCCATGAACTAAGCAGTGTCCCAGACCCAGTTTCTGCCTTAAGTGATTTTTTTTTCTAAAATTATATTAAGTTTATTAAATGCATTTCAGCTCTGAATTATTCTTTTTTTTTGATGTCTGCACCTGACGCTTGTTTTCTCTATATAATTCTTTAGAACAAATATATTAAGATAATTTAAACACAATTCAGATACACACAACAAATTCATATAGTTTAAAGTAGATAGCAGGTATGCCCAACTTGTGATTTTTTATTAAAGAAAACAACCAGATTAATAACATACTGAGAAATATTTTTAAGACATCCAGAAAATTTTATGATTATCAGAAACTTCAAATATAGATATTTAAAAATCATGTTTTCCATCGTTGGGAATTTCTGAGAGAAAAGACATATGTTTAAAAGCACATCCTTTTATGCAAAGAGTGTGAGCAACCTCTTATTTATATTGAAGTGATTTCTGCAGAGGGCATTTCAGAATGGATCTGGCAGAATCTTTTTGAGTTGTGATCCTCAAACAGAGCTGATGACATACAGGGAACTGAAGAGACAGCTGTGAACTGTTTCAGTTTGTTTTTTTTTTAAATATCCATAATCTGACAATCTATCTCTGCTTTCATGTTTCAAAATATGAAAATTAGAATATTAATGTAGGTTTTCGAGAACTATTTTAGAAATGAAGTCTTGTCTATTGTACATTTTTTTTCATAAAATTCCTTTCTAGAAATGCATTTGGCATATTTCACAAAGATCTCATTATGCATGCAACGTGGAACTGTCTCAGTTCGAAGATGATGTATGCATTTCATTTCTTAAAATATCATTGGTCAACAAAAAACGGCCACTGGGAGCTTTATACTTTTTACAGAGGCCCCTGTAGAGACAATAATCTCTAAAACACAATTGAGAGTTCAATTGAATCTATATACTTAAACACAGTTTTCAGAACAAAATCTACAAGTACATGAAATGCGCTGATTTCTCACTTTTCCGTCATGCTATCATGACTCAAAATGAAATTTTATCTTGCTTCATTATTATTTTTAAATTATAATTCATTTCTTGTTAGCCAAAGTTCTCTATTTTTGAAGCGTGCGCACTTCCAGCTCATGAGTCATGTGCTGTTTCTCGAAATAAGCACGGATGAGCAAGCTCAGAGCTGTCTCTTGGCTCGGGAAACCTGCTGATCCCCAGATAGTTTTCTCCTTCTGAGATATCAAAGGAAGTTGGAACCTGGGATTTGTTTATGATCCCAGGTGTTCTCTATCTCTGGGATGAGCTGAATATCTAATATGAGACTACAGGATTTCCTGTGTGATTTTCACTACAAAATCCTATGAATAATTAACTAGTAAGAAAAAAAATCTTTTGTGATGGTGAATCTTCCTTTGGGATAAGAACTCAGAAAATGCTCCATTTTAGATTATTTCATTCTTCATTAATCCTGAAGAAAAAAAAAACACATTGCTCCTCTATATCATGGCTGATCTAAAGGCTGCAGACATACTCCTGGGAGTGTATAAAACACACTCTGAAGTGTTCTTAATTCATGGCCTCCTGTGACTCTCCAGTCTATACCCTGTAAATGGATATGCATCAGGTTTTCAAAAGGTTGACAGTACGTACATAAATCTTATATATAATTACTTTAATCACACTGAAAGAAATCAGTTTTGAGGTTATTATGCACATAAGTATATAAAATTTACCATCAATTTCTATCTGCTGAAGCTTGGAGAAATTCATCATGGACATACTACCCCCACTTTGATTATCTATGCATTGTGTGTTCTCGCATTAGGAGCATTGCAAATACAGGTATTCATTTCCGAAATATAGCATCAAAATTAGATGTTCTATGGACAGACGATGTGGAAGAAGTAAGTGTAAGACGTATAAATCCCACATCTGTTGCCTTCTTCACATTGATGTGATTATTTTATGCCCTCCCAGAGAATGTCAGTACATGCAAATTAAAGAGTAATTAATATCTTTTTAAAAGAAGTATAGGAGTATACATACTATAAGGGACACATTCATACTGCACTTCAAGGTATTTATAAGTTCCTGGACATGGGTCTGGAAAAACATCAGGACCTGCCACCACAGCACACTGGGTTCTGTTATTGCATCTGAAATCAAAAGAGATAAAGAAATAGTAAATTTATACAAGCTTAAATCATCATGAACACCAACACTGACATCATTTTACTTTCAGTTATGTAGAATTAAAAAAAAATATTTTTGCTGACTTAGGACTTCAGGTTTATTAATGAAGTACATTCAGTGTGCTTTAAAAATTAAAACATAAGCATCAATTTGTGTATTTTGCTTATAGTAACTTACATTTGCTCAAATAGGACATAATTCTAAGGCAGCAGTTAAATACTGCTGAAGCAATACAAAGTCATGCAGAGGACATTGGCAATGTGAATACTGGAGAAGATTACTTAAGAGGAAAGACCCACTCCCTTTTCAAAAACTACATTTAACAGCATATAACAAAATATTTCTTAGACAGTTGTAAAACAAATGCCATGGATGTGATAAAATTTATTTTAAATGAGTTAGACATTATACATAAAACACTCTTCTATCCTTAAGAATTTAGTAAAAACTTAGTATTTGAGGATCAATGGATTGGTTCAGCTGGTTAAGTTGTTTGATGTCAATCAAGCCTGATAAATTGATTTTGACACTTCACATTCATCAGGTAGAGGGAGAAAATCCATTTCTGCAATACCTTGGCATATGCACCCACACATATGTAAGCATATACACATAGATAAATGTAAAATAAACTAAACACTTAAATATAGAAATGCATTTATTTAGCATATTTGGCATTAACCACATAAGTAAAAGAACTAAAAAGAACGGATTCTCCAAGTTTCTTTTATTCCACTTAATATTGACACCAACTCACAGATTAGATGTCATTTAAGTCAGTATTATGCATTTCAAAAGAGTAGTTTTATATTTCTGAGGGAACGAAAGCACACTATTACAACAGAAATGCAAATTTGGGCACTTGCACAGTAAATGGATTAAACTGATTTGGGCTAATTTATCCTTGAGGTAAAAAATACATATAATTAAATTCAATTTCCTCTAAAAAAAAAGAGTCTAGCTCACAATGGCCTCAATACTGTACCTTTTAGTTAGAAACTTCCTAAGTTCAGGAATTTATTGATTAGTAAACTATGGTTAATAGGTTTGCAAACCCATAATATTGGCATGTACGGGATGGCCACACTGACCATTCTGCTTTATGATCTTGCTTACTATTTCAGATATGGAAGAAAGCTTTAGCCCTAATTTAGGGATAGGTTTTTGATGTGGGAGTGTCATATATCAATCTGTTGATTTCATTGGTTAAGTTATAATAAACCAGCTGCTTGGCCTCATGGCTTGGAACATAGATGGGAGGAGTAAACAGAATAGAATTCTGGGCGGAAGAGGAAGTGAGGTCAGACTCTGCTCTGCTCCCGGAGAGACCTGACAGCTCTGCTGGAGCAGAGACGCCATGCTCAGCTCTCCCAGGCAGCTGCAACCCACGATGATGGACTTAGGCTAGAATCTTCCCGGTAAGCGCACCTTGGGGTGCTTACACACATCATTAGAAATGGGCTAGTCCAGATGCGAGAATTGGCCTGTAAGGGCTAGAGTTCATGGGCCAAGCAGTTCTTAAATGAATACAGTTTGTGTGTTGTTATTTCGGGCATGAGCTAGCCAAGCGGCCGGGGTGTTGGGGACACAGCCCCGCCGCTTCATATTTCAACAGGTTTTCCTATCACCTTCTTAAAGGCTTCATTCCCTGATGCAATCAAACCTCAAAGATTCCTAGCACCTGGACACATACAGGAAAATGCAAGTACAGGATTCAGCTCGATTTAGAGTAAACATGTATCTACTTGATGCTAATATTCCTCAGGTTTAATGAGGATTTTATTTAGTCCCAAATTAAGATGGAGTGATTACTGAATGGCTCAAGATGAAAATACATTTTATGTTATGGAGCAGAGATTAATTCAAGTAAAAAGATCATATTAATCCCAGCACTTAACCCAAAGAGTTTACAAACCCTCTAATGGTCTCCCCTCTAGCTATGACACTTGTTCTCTTGACCAGGCTCCTGTATCTTAATATTAAGGTAAATGTGACTGTTTAAGGTAAATGTACTGTTTCATCAGCTACAAGCTCGTCATAGATGTACATGAAGATACAAAGGTAACTAAAATTGTAAGTAAAGGCTGTTTAACCTGTAAGTGAATATCAAAAAAACAAACAAAAAAGCAAAACAAAACTTCCAAGTATATGACAAGTCTTTGCTTGCATGAAAACTACTTTCTTTTACATATTCTAGAATGAATCCAAGATTTTCAGAATAAATCCTTTCTTCTGATAATCTAAACTTAGAAATATTCCCATATATCTTGTGTTGTCTTACTTTTAGTTGATCTCATTTTACTAGTTTATCAACAAATGAAGCGTATACATTTAGAATATACAGTTATATTTTAATGTCTATAGAAGTCATAAAATTATTCCCCCATATATCAGGCTTATTAATATATGATCATCTAACAGAGACACGTTTCTTTCATTGAAGAAATAGAGGTCTACTCTCATTGCAAACTTCAGAAGAGGCTACCTAAGGCCATCGGCCATCATTCTGCAACTTGATCTCCAGCATGCCTGCATCCTGTGTTTCTAAAACTTTACATCCTTGATCAGCATGTGTCTCTAACTGCCACACCTCAGACATAGGCAACCTCCATTCTATGCTCAGTTTCTTTCAGATTCATATTCGTAGAGCCCTGGAATTGGGCATTAAAATGAACAAATCCACATACATTGCTTAGAAAAGAATTTTAGTCCTGTAATGATGTACCAAGTGTAACAGTGACTTCTAAGTTATAATCTCTCCACCATTGAAATCTATAATAGTGGCTGGCTAGAAGTATGAATGTTTTCAATTGAAAATAGATGGAACTGAATCTGGTTTACTTTATTACCATCTACATATGGCCACATTTGGAAGCCGAATCTCCTTCACTTGTATGTAGGATGAGCCAAACAAACTGAAGTGTCTGCTTGAATTCATTATCTCCAAGTGCAGTGCATAGTGATTCCACTATTTTCTAAATGTGAAGGGGCAATCGTTCACAGAAACACCTTTATCATATAGAATGCTAATATATAATCTCTATTCCCATATGACATGCTAATGTATTTCATATATCCTTTCTATATTATATAGTATGTTGATACATTCATATAATATTTTTGTACTATATGGTATGTAAATACACTCAGGAAATCCGTACAAAAAAGCATGTCAATATCAATTTTATATGCCTATATTTCTCTTCAGTGGGTGGCATGACCATTTTCCCATGTGTTCATTGAGAAACACATTAACAGCTAAATATATTTTCTTGAATTACTTGTGTTATCTGATTTTTTGTTCCTAATTCATAGCAATCTGCATGGTATTTCATGAGAGCAATAAAAAAATATTGCTTTATTCTCTGAGTTACAAAATGTCCTCTGTGGCATGCCTAGTCTAAGATTAAGGATGTCATAGAGTCATCAATTTGGTGTTTCCAAACTAAACTTTATATACGAGAAACCAAAGAGATACAGAATTGTTCGTTGAGAATAAAAAGAGAAATTTCATTTGTATTCTATATTAAGAGAATTGTTAAAACCTGTAAAAGAAAATTCACATTGCCACAAGAAAATTTTAACTTTTACATAATGGTGTTTAATAAATAGCTAAAACAGATTAAACAGAAAATGACTAAGAGTGTGTGTGTGTGTGTGTGTGTGTGTGTATGCATGTGCATGAGCAAACGAGCATCATGTATATACTTTGATGCTATTAAAAATAACTGAACAGGTGCCAGGTGATGGTGGTGCACACCTTTAATCCCAGCATTTGGAAGGGAGAGACAGTTGGATCTCTGTGAGATCGAAGCCAGCCTGTACTACAGAGCAATGTCCAGGGTGGGCTCCAAAGCTACAGAGAAACACTGTATCAAAAACCAAACCAAGCCAAACCAAACAAACAAACAAATTTAAGGGGAATGCAGAGATGGCTCTGAAGTTAAGAATACTTGGGTTTGCTGTCCAACACCTATATTGGGTGACTCACAATTGCTTTTAACTCTACGTCCAAGACATAATGCTTCTAGAGCCTTAGGCAACTGAATTTTTAACCACATATCCTCCCCAAATTTCGATACTCATACTGATAAAAAAAAAAAAAAACAATTCCTAAGCATAATATAAAGCTTCTTTATTTTGCTTATGTCAACATACAAGTTTCCTTTTCAGCCTTGATCAGAGAAGTTTCCTTTTGCAGTGAACAGCTGTGACAGTAGAAACTCAAGGCTGCTAGAGAGTGCTGAGAGTAAGACACGACTGAACACTTAGTCTAAACAAGACTTATGTATCACCTCTTAAGTGTCGGGAAACAGAGAGAAGATGGGGCAGAAAGAACATAAAAACAGAGTGACGGTGAGAATGGCTGGGAAACTCTACCTTCATGACATGACACAAGTAATCATGAACTAAAAGCCGCTACCGTTGTCTGCATTGGGCTTGCTCGGAGAGAGCCTTTTAAAAGCCAATCATGAATAAGAGAGAGACTCATTGGACCCTACTCTCTGCCGAACTACTGACCATTGGTTTAAGCACCTTCAGCTGTAAAGCCACTGCACAACTTACTGTGCTCCGACAGATAGTTTTACATCCTTGCACGTATGGTCCTACAGGATATACTTCATGCTTCATATTAACCAAGATGATAAACTAATAATATCAAAATAAAAATAAAGCACTCTTCTACGCCTCATTTTAATAAGAAGGAAATTTTAATCATAAGGCACTCCAAAGACTACCTTCCTCAGAATAGTGACCCAAAGAGTTAATGACTAAGTCCTGTTTAAAAAACCATTTCTAAAGTAAATACAGCTGTCAACAACAGCCAGAGACCACAGAGGTAAATATTCTCACTAAGATCCATAGCTTACCAGAGACTGAGAAGATGAGGGTCTGATAGCCAGGAATATGAGGTGATTTGGGATTCCCCTCTGTATGCTATGGATATGTTTTTATTACCATT